AGGTGTTAATTGACTGAAAAATAGGCAGAATTAAGTATCAGGTTCATCTTATATATTTATAATTTGTTTTTGCGGCCATTCTATGTAGTAATTTTTATTTTTTTCACAAATTTTATAAAATTTGTGTATTTTAAACAAAGGATTTATCACAACTGAAAAAACTATATCGAATTTATATATGAAGGAAGATATCAGATTATAATCTTTAGCTCCGCGAAAGGCGTGTATTTAATGCTTTTTCGTTACAATTCAGAAAGATTCTATACATAAATAAATAATTCCTTAAATTTTGACATTTTCACGTGTAATCTCGAGAAAAGCTAAACAAAAGTTACGAAAAATTATTTACTAAGATTAAAAAAATGTGATGCATAGTTTTGGGCGTATTATATATTTAATTTAATCTCATTCATGTTTTATTGTTATGCCAATACATATAATGTACTTATTGGTGTCACAATGTGCACTAAAAGAGAAAATCATGCAAGGAATGGGCATATTTCCACTGCGTGAAAACATTTTCGTCATCATTAGTGTATTTGTCTTTTGGTTAAATTTCTCTTTCCGTTTTGAGATATGTTGCTAAGCTACGAATCTAAAGTTGATTTTAGCTTTACTAATTTTTATTTTATTTTTGTTTTAATAATATGATTTCTAAGTAGTAATGTTTTTTTGTTACTTTTAACTTGAAACCTTTTAATGTGTGAGTGCAGGTGGAACACATAGATATAACAGATTAGTGGTTATAGAAGCCTGGAAAAATAGGAAGAGTTGAAAATTTCAAAAATCAGCTTCAAGGTCGATCCAAGGTCATATTCCTTGGGAAAAAAAGTTATTACATCTCGTTATATGCCAATAATGAGGGATCATCCAAAACAATGTGACCGACATTAGTCAATTCTGTGAAAACTCAAGACGGTTCTAAACCACGAAACTCCTTTGACAATAGGAAGCGCAATCTCACTAGAAAAGCAATCAGTTAGTGGCTTTGTTTACAGCTCAGAACCAATAAAAATTAACCGTCGCAAAGGCTTCTGCTTTTCAATATTTTAATGAGTTTCAAAAACGTATGAAGTTACAAAAGCATTGTTCCGATTTAACTCTGGTCATAACTACCATTATCCCTTTGCGTGAATTATATTAGTTTTTCAACATAAAGGTATTTGTTTATATTATGAAGTCCTTGAGCAGCGTAGTGCAACTGCTTGAATATATTAATTGCGTTAATGGAAGATCAACATGCTGGTCAAATATGAGTGACTCTGTGGTATAAATACGAGCAACATTTGACGATAAGTCATCAGTCCAGTCTTGAAGATTGCCCTTTATAGCTGTACAAGTAAATCAGTTTCACGTGTTCGCGAATATCAATATTAAATAAATATATAAAGTCATGGCACCAATAACAGATTTCTCCATCGACGCTTTACTTTCCAATGAGACTGGCGCACAAGCAGCAGCGCAACCCGCAGCGCAAAAGCCAGGATATACATTCCCCCAAATGATCACAATGGCAATAGAGAGAAGTCCACAACAGAAGCTAAAGCTATGTGATATAACAAAGTGGATAACGGAGAACTTTCCGTATTATCAGAAGGACCAACCATCATGGCAGAACCAAGTACGGCACACTCTCACCACAAGTAACTGTTTTAGTCGTATAAAGCGTGAGGCTGGCGAGCCAGGGCGAGGCGATTATTGGGTAATGAGTTCATCAATTACTCAGCACCAACAGAATGCACCACATAGTGGTCCTGGGCTCAACGGCCTTCCAACGGAAGCCATAGCTCATGGCATAGCAATGAGCCATCCTGATGCGTTCTTGGCAGTCTATTTTCCCACTGCGATGGATATTCAACAAGCCCAGCAATATCATTACTATCAGCAGCAGTGCATGGCGACAGCACAGTGTCCAAATATGACAAATTACCTACAATAACAGATATTTTGTATAGTATTTATAAGTAGTTGTTGTGTTATTATTAAAAAAAAAATTATATTAAATTTAGTGTTATATAAATAGCGTCATGTTAATAAAGAAACTTCACCCTAAATAAAATCAAACTTCTTTTTTTTTTAATTAATAAACGGATAGAAAATGGAATTATTAAATGTGAAGACTGTAAAGTTTTATAAACGAGTCTACTTATCACCTGAAAATCCGAAAGAAGAAGGATTCCAAGGGAACTCCTCTAAGACATCACCTATAGTCAACTTGAACTTCTTATCAAATAAATGCTTAAAAAGAAAAAATTTAAACAGCCGGAAAACCAAAAAGCAAAAGAAAATATTTTTGGTTATTTAATCTTAGTAAACAAATTTCTAATTTTTTATATGTGTGCCTTAATAAGTATAGTACAGTTATTTCTTTTCACTGACGGCAGGAATTTCTGTTTTCTTATTTTCTTATTTTTCAGTTTTATGTGGTTTGGTCCCATTCGAAAAATGATCTAAATCGGACTAAGTGCGATGCTGGGTTATAAGGGATTATGCGTTGGAGTCAATGAATAAAGGTTACATTTTTTCCAACTTTCTCTTGGATCAACTACAACATAAGACACAGATAACAGGTTAAACAGAATTCTACATGGAAACCAAAGAAATATCCGCCCTTTTCTACCCTCTGGTTTAAGCTTTTGTCAGCTAACGATGGGACTAAGTTCAAGTTTTATCTTTCCTTCGCAAGAAAACATATAATCATCACAGACCTAAAGAATACGCACAAAGGTTTGCATGGTTATACAAAATAAAAACATATACCTGATGAATTGAGAACTTTCTCTTTCGCCTGCCACCCATTGGTTCTCTGAAAAAAATGGTCGTAGAATTTTTTTCTTATACCAATAACCTTCCATGCCTCAAAACATTCTTTATTATTTAATTTTCTTTGACCGAATAAAATTTGCTCTTTACCTTTTATACTAAAAATATTAGATTATTTTCATTTTAAAAAGTTTCTCTTTAATTTAAAAAAAAATCATTCCCCAAATAATGTCATTTTGAAGTAAGCCAACCTCTTTCTCAGAGACACTAATTCCAAAACACTGCACGCACTTAACGGCGGTGTCATGCGAAATGCGGACAAAAGAGAACCAGGGCTAGCCCATTACTTTCTCTTTCTGTTTTTGCACAAGCTACGCCTGCGCACAAGTGCGGTATTGTTGTGTTGCAGCAGAATTAGTGCTTGACCTCATAATACCATACAATAAGTAATCAGTGTAAAACTAAAAATTACAGAAGAGGAACAAAAGAGTCAGATGAGCACTTCAACATGCTGTCAAGGACACCAAGTAGCTCTGTTGTTCTCTAGTCACACTGTTGCAATAAGTACATCGTCCGATATGCTTTACGTGAGTACCTGCCGACGTCGGCCTAACCTCACGGTGCTCAAAAACACAACGGATCAAATCAATGCGTTGTTAAGCGCCCCAGAAATGCAAGCATTATGGTACCAATTGGCAGTGTGGAGTGGACACACTAACCACCTTGGTAGGGTTCGAGGCCTGTCTAAAACCTCTGCCGTACTATGGGTCCGGCACCCGGTTGCAATGCAACTCCACATTGAGCTAACATAACGTCAACTCTTCCCGTATTTGGGTTTAAACCACAGCCACCACGATACTCCCCGAGGGGGCCTTTCCGCTTGAACAGGTCAGAGCAAGCTCCAAGGGCTCCTGTTCCACGTGGCACCAGATTTAGGTCTCCGGTCGAACCTCGTAGCCGAAACTACTACCAGTTGAGCTTCCATACAGCTCCGGACTGGTGGCCTGGGGTTGAACTTCATTCTCCGCGTACCAACTCAAACATGCCCATTCATACTCTTAATCTAATGGTCAATTAAACCTCAGATGCCTTCGCCGTCTAAACACATTACGCGCAAACACTTCAAACACACGCATGTACTCTCCACATGAGAGAGCATCACACACCCTATACCGTCCATCTGTCCTAACTATTCCCATACCCCCTAAGCCCCTAATGTCTAAGTACATCGGGCATTCACACAACACATGCATCCAATCCTCTCGCTCTATACCACACTCACAGCTCGCCGCTCCGCTCAAGTGCCTCTCATGCAGAAAAGCATTTAGAGGCCCATGACCGGTTAGCAGAAAACCCATACTCAGAGAAAATCTGAAGTCTGGATTTTCCACCACAAACGAGACATCCCGAATGTACTCATATGTACAGTATAAGTACAGTAGAATAGTCAAATCTCACTGTTATTGGTAAAGTAAATTTTGTTATTTTTTTTTACAACCAAAACTCAATTCCGTATTCTAGCGCCCAGGTTTCATTGGGAGACAAAACTATGGATTGCTTGGACCATGTCAAATTATATTTGCCACTTGCTGAAGTTAAAAGAAAAATATTAACAATAAATTTGAAGACAACAAAATATGTAAGTTTTATTTATCTGTTTATCAATTATTTTTTTATTAAGTAAATAATTGAACCTTATTATGGAAAATATGCCTTTTGGCACTTTTTTCATAATCTCCAGTGAATTCCATACGTAAAATATATATGTACCTACACATGTTGCTCTTTATTTCTTCTCATCCTAACAACACAAAATCAAACAGCAGATCGCTTGTTGCCTCCCTTCTCGCGGGTAACAAAATTAAGAGAGTGACAGTGAACTCAGAATACGAAACGGTAACAAAACTTGTTGTTGGTATATTTTATTACCGTTGCAGAATAGGTCAATTGGTAGGTAAATCTGAGCAGGTGTTTGCTGCAGATCGAGGGCACTTTCGAAACATTTGAAAACAATTTACTTAACATAAAAACCGAAGAAAAAATTGTCTTTTTGACTCCTCATCTAAAAAAATAGATAATTTTTGCTTTTACTTAGTTATTTAATTTTTTTAGTTTATGTAACAGTATACTTTCATCTAAATATTTTTAACAACAAATTTATATAAATTAACGAAATACAATATTTAATAAAATTAGAAACTATTAGTTTTAATAACAATTAACAATAAGTTATGATTCTATGGTTCCTGTTGGTGGAGAAACCATCCGTGCTGCTGCTGCGCCACTGCTGCTACGTATGCTCTAGCCTCCTCCGGTGTGGGAAAATACACAGCGTTCTCAGCCTGAGGATGATTACAGGCAATACCGTTCCTCAAAACTTCGGTGTACAAGTCTGCGTGTGGCACGGCAATGGGAACTACTGGTTGGTGATCATCAGGCACCACAGCCCAAAAATTTCCACGCCCCGGTTGACCTATTGGACGAACCAACTTCTTAAAGCACTTAAGTGTGCTTAGAGTGTGTCGCACCTGACACTGCCAGCCAGAATCTTCTTTCCGGTAATATGGAAAGTTTAGACTAATCCAGTCTACAATCGCACAGAGTGGGAGTGCATTTTGAGGGCAATTCCTTATTGCCATCTTTATTAGGTCCTTAAATGTATGATTTGGTCTCTGGATCGGAGGAGGTGAGCTGTGTGGCGACCTTGAGTCAACAGAATCGGGTGGTGTTGGCGGAGCTTCAATATCACCATCGACTCCAAGTATGTTCCGGATGGAATGTTTAGATTCGAAAGCTGGATTCATTTTCGTTTACGCAATTTATTGGCTTTTTGAGGAGGAAAAGATTTTAATAAAGTTTTATTGAAATATCGACAGGAACTTAAACACGAGTAATGATTACTTTCTTGAAGTCCGTCGTATTTATACCGTCAAATATCTACTTTGGCAATAGATTTAAAGCCTAAGGCTCAAACTTATATGCAAATCCATTAATGACCAATGACATAATAACAGAATAATTGACAATAGAATCTACTCACTCATTAGCGAGCGCAATATAAGGCCGGGTATGCTCTCACAGGTTACGCACTCAGCGTCGGCATCAAGGTCAGTGCAGTAGAACAACACATCTGTGAGTTATGTTATTGAGACAAAAATTTCAGGGTTTGCTTTTTTTGTATGGCGAAATCTATTCCGACCGCCAGCAGTAGTTTGATTCATGTGGAAACAGATGTTGTCTGACGCAGAAAAGTACTTGGTAACAACGCTAGAGAGTATTTCATCAACAGTCCAGTGCTATCTATTTTCAAATAGCTTTTTGTGTTTACTTTTCTAATTATTATTCTGGACTAGTAATTAGCGAACGCTTGGTTTATGGCGGGTTTCGAGGAAAGGATTACCATTTTGAGTGCGAATTTCGAAAGACTTTTGTTGTGGGATACAGAGTAATGGTCTTAAAAGGACTAAAGGAGCTCTAATAACCTCGTTTATTATTTATTTCTTTAAGATTTGGAATGCTTTAATTATCAAAAATTCAGCGGTGAATTTACTGAGAAGCAATGAGGTCAATCGACGAAGAAGGAATCTGTTATTATTGTACATTATTTTCTTTCTCAATTTGGTTGAAAATTATTAATATTTTTCCTCATAAATTTAGCGAGAACTATTCAAATCAAGTTAAACAAAGGTACAATGATTTATCTATCTTAATTTTTCCTGGAATACCAAATTTCTGTCTCGCCCTAACCCTGCAAGACCTGAAGTGAACTACGCGAGATGCCGTCAAGGTCAAAATATTAAATAGTTACTTACATAAGTCAACGCTGCTACGCTTTTCTCTTTTGTACTCGGGGTCCGTTTAAATAGATTTTAATTATGGCTCAATAAATATTAATTTAGGAGCCAGTACAAGTTGAAGGTAAGAAAAGAGATATTTCACGAAAAATCTATTGTTCTTGTGCATAATTGTTTAACGAGTTATACTTCTTTAGTTTTCAATTGTTTTGGGTTACAAAGAGAAGTTGTTATTTCATTTTGGCGTCAATCTGTTTTCGTTTAACATTTTCTTACTAAACTATGCGCGAAGTTATTGCTTC